CAGCGTCCGACGCCTTCTCCTTTGGCTGCTCATCCTCAGCAACTTCCGGCTCATCAGCTTTTTCTGAAGCCTTCCCCTCTAACTGCACCTCCTCCGGCTCATCCTCAGAGACATCCGTCTCATCAGCCTGTGAATCTGGCTGCGCCTCCTCCGACTCACTTTTAGAGACTTCCGGCTCATCAGCTTCTGAAGCCTTCACCTCGAGATCTGGTTGCGCTTCCTCTGGCTCATCCTCCGAGGCATCCAGCTGGTCAGCCTCCAAAGCCTTCACCTCCTCATCGGTCTCCGACATCTCATCCACCTGCGTGTCCTGCATCATCCTCTCACCATGATGGCTCAAGTCGGCCAAAGGAACCTTCGGATGAGGCAGCCGCGCATCCACCTCTTCCTGCGCAGAGGCAGTGGACCCATCCTCGTCACTTGTGGAGCCAGCGTCTGATCCAGACTCCTGCGTGGGATGGATCCGCAGGATCCAGTGTGCAGGTGCCGAGCAGACTGTTGTGATAGAGGAAAAACCACACACGCGAAGACAGACAGACAGACAGACAGACAGACGGACGGACGGACGGACGGACGGACGGACAGACAGACAGACAGACAGACAGACAGAGAGACAGAGAGACACAGAGACACACACACACACACACGCCCCCAATTCGTGATCTAATTTCAAGCATATTATATATATATATATATTAATTGGATGCCATGCGTTGCATACATTCGTGCATGATCGATACACGTGTGCAAAGCGTGACAGGCCTGCATCTTGCCCTTGCTGTGTCCGGCCCCTGGCACCAACCCGCAGGCAGTCCTAGGTTTGGCTACAATGATGGATCGGATCCTACAAAATGGTTAGTACCCCCCCCCCTTCAAGGTCAACAAGGTTTGGGAGGGGCAAAATTTTGAGGCTCTCTGGTAGGACCCCCCAATAACTTGAGAGGAACTTGAGGGACTTGAGGGGCTTGGTGGCCTTTTGCTTGCTTTTTAAGCTTAAACCTTTTTCCCGGAAGCATTGCGAAGGGTTCTTCTTCTAAAAGCGGCTGCCAACTTCACCTGCCAACTTCTCATGCCAACTTGTCGAGAGTTACTTCACCTGCCAACTTCTCATGCCAACTTGTCGAGAGTTACTTCACCTGCCAACTTCTCATGCCAACTTGTCGAGAGTTACTTCACCTGCCTACTTCTCATGTCAACTTTTTGAGAGTTACTTCACCTGCCAACTTCTCATGTCAACTTTTCGGCTGTTATCTCATTCTACTAAAAGCACAAGCTAATTTGTCGGGTGTTACTTCACTATCCTAAAAACACAAGCTAACTTTTCTGTTCTACCTTCACATCTCGACTCTTAATTCTTCTTCTTTTTATGGCGGGGGTAGGCCCGACGGGAGCTTACGAAACGCACCCCTCTGCGGAGATCGTGCGTGTCGAAGCGCTCTCGCTGTGGCGCCGTGCGAATTTGTCTTGACCTTGGCGAACCCTCTGCGGAGATCGTGCGTGTCGAAGCGCTCTCGCTGTGGCGCCGTGCGAATTTGTCTTGAGCGCGGCGAACCCTCTGCGGAGATCGTGCGTGTCGAAGCGCTCTCGCTGTGGCGCCGTGCGAATTTGTCTTGACCTTGGCGAACCCTCTGCGGAGATCGTGCGTGTCGAAGCGCTCTCGCTGTGGCGCCGTGCGAATTTGTCTTGACCTTGGCGAACCCTCTGCGGAGATCGTGCGTGTCGAAGCGCTCTCGCTGTGGCGCCGTGCGAATTTGTCTTGACCTTGGCGAACCCTCTGCGGAGATCGTGCGTGTCGAAGCGCTCTCGCTGTGGCGCCGTGCGAATTTGTCTTGACCTTGGCGAACCCTCTGCGGAGATCGTGCGTGTCGAAGCGCTCTCGCTGTGGCGCCGTGCGAATTTGTCTTGAGCCCGATGAACCCTCTGCGGGGATCGTGCGTGTCGGATCGCTCTCGCTGTGGCGCCGTGCGCATCTGTCTTGAGCCCGATGAACCCTCTGCGGAGATCGTGCGTGTCGAAGCGCTCTCGCTGTGGCGCCGTGCGATTTTCTTGCTCGCGAAACGGCTTTTGGAAGTTGTCTCGTGGTGTGCGCGCCTGCTTTCGCAATCCCGCGGTCCCGGGTTCGATTCCCCCCTGGTCCGCGGCAGCTCCGGCTTGAAAATCGCAGCTTTTAAGTACAAACGTAGTACGCGGAGCGTGCTCCTGCAGCTCCGGCTGGAAAATCGCAACTTTTAAGTACAGACGTAGTACGCGGAGGCTGCTGCAGCTCCGGCTGGAAAATCGCACTTTTTAAGTACAGACGTAGTACGCGGAGCGTGCTCCCGCAGCTCCGGCTGGAAAATCGCAACTTTTAGATACAAATGGCTGGAAAATCGCAACTGTAAATTGCAAATGTAGCACGCGGAGCGCCTCCGCCGCTCCAGCTTTTTGAGGGTTAATTACTTCACCTGCCAGTTTCTCATGCCGAAACTTCGAGAATTACTTCACCTGCCAGCTTCTCATGCCACCTTTTCGAGAGTTACTTCACCTGCCAACTTCTCGTGCCAACTTTTCGAGGAGTTACTTCACCTGCGAGCTTATCATGCCAACTTTTCGAGAGTTACTACACCTGCGAGCTTCTCATGCCAACTTTTCGAGAATTACTTTACCTGCCAACTTCTCATGCCAACTTTTCGAGAAATACTTTACCTGCCAACCTCTCGTGGCAACTTCACCTGCCAACTTTTCGAGAATTACTTCACCTGCCAACTTCTCATGCCAACTTTTCGAGAAATACTTTATCTGCCAACCTCTCGTGGCAACTTTTCGAAAAATTACTTCACCTGCCAGCTTCTCATGCCAACTTTTCGAGAGGTACTTCACCTGCCAACATCGCCTGCCAACTTTTCGAGAGTTACTTCGCCTGCCAACTTCTCGCGCCAACTTTTCGAGAATTACTTCGCCTGCCAACTTCTCATGCTAACTTTTCGAAAGTTACTTCACCTGCCGGCTTCTCACGCCAACTTTTCGAGAGTTACTTCACGCGCCATCTTCTCGTGCCAACTTTTCGAGAATTACTTCACCTGCCAGCTTCTCACGCCAACTTTTCGAGAGTTACTTCACCTGCCAACTTCTCATGCCAACTCTTTGAGAGTTATTTCACCTGCCAACTTCTCATGCCAACTTTTCTCTTGAGTTACTTCGCCTGCCAACTTCTCATGTCAACTTTGCGAGAATTACTTCACCCGCCAACTTTGCCAGCCAACTATTCGAGAGTTACTTAACCTGCCAGCTTCTCATGCCAACTTTTTGAGAATTGCTTCGCCTGCCAACTCCTCATGCTAACTTGGCGAGAGTTACCTCACCTGCATCAACTTGCCTCTATGCTTCCGGGCCACTCGTCGTCTAGTTGTTTGAAACATGTAAAGAAATCTGAGGTTTCCTGACAGGTTTGGGGTCGGTGCATATTTAATTAGGAAAGCAATCAGCCTGGTGTTTTAGGGTGGGGGGTGGCAAGGGAGTACCTTTAATCAGCGGGGTGTTTTGGGGAGGCCCCAAAAATAATGGGTAGGGTTGCGTGGCCCTTTACGTGGGAATCTGGTGTACGTGGATCGAAGGTTTTTTTTTGGGGGGGGTACTGATTGTTCCCTGACATTATGTGTGACTTGCTAGCAAACAAATGTGCTGGCGCCAAGGGGCATATCAACATCGCCCATACCAAGGTCCAAAGGCAGCGTTTCCAGCATCGATGGGTCCCTGAGCAGGTGTCAAACCCATGGCCAAAGTACTGAATATTCCGAACCCAATCATGAAGGGCCGTTTAAATTGATATGGAAATTGCCATATGCAATCAATGAGTCGGAGTCTGATCGACGGAGCTTTGTCTTGAAATAGCACTTCCACTAGATGAACGGCTTCTCCTCGCACCAGCCCTGGATTGTCTGATGAACACGCCATGCATCCTGTTCGCCTGGGGATCAGCATTTGTCCCTCACTCAAAGAAATGCCTATTTGCATCATGAAGACAACATGCATGGCAAGCCTGCACTGTGATCCATTCATCTTGTTCACCGGCCTCCATAGTTTGGCCTCAGAGTTTGGTTAGTTGCATGCTCGCCTATGCATGTCCCTGGCACACAACGGTGCACCATAAATTGACAGCAAAGAGGCACAGCTTTGCCTCCACAACCAACTTTGTGACGACTTTGCGGCATTCATTTTCTCGGGGAACCCTTGGAAGATTTGCTTCCTGGAGGGCCAAGATCGCCCACTTGTTTTCTTTTCTTCTGATATCACCGCCACATACGAGTTGGTTGGAGTCCATGATCTCTTTCCGGGAAGGCATATGTTTGCGGCACTTCCGCAATAGCTTCCTCAGCATGAATTGTCATGTTTTTGCAACCATTGAATTTGCAGTCTGGACACACGCCGTTATCCTTCAGCTTGCCAATGCGTGGGCGCGGCATTGCCCGGTGGGGGTGGTCAAATCAGAAAGTAAGTGTTGATTTTGAAGGGGGCTACCCCGTTGCAGTGCATGATTGACTCATGCCTGTGACATGCAACCCCGCCATACCACCGAGCCCAGGTGGTGTCTGCGCTGGCCGGGCGGCTGCTGTGCTGCCTCCCCCCCCCTCATCTGCACCCACCCCTGGAGGTACCAATTGAGGGCACTTTTTGAGTTAGGGTCAAACGAGGGCACTTAGCATAAAAGTGTCGTCCATTCGTACCAACACCTAAGTGCCTTCAAATAGAAGGCACTTGGAGGGTGCTGGTAGTTGGCGTGCACGTTGTGTAGTGCAACCTTGGGTTCAACATACTCATGCTTATTCTGGCCAAACACGCGTCCAATCTGAAACATTCCCATGCCAGCGCTAGATGACTTACTTATAAGTGAGTCATATTCCATTAACCTTGCTTGTTTCGATTTTCGGCCTTAGAAATGGAACGACGGAAGCTGCGACCGGTCATGCTGCATTCTTCCCAGACCCACGTTTACCGCTCAGCCCCGCTTGTCATCGACCCAGGAAATACATCACTGGCAGTGATCTCCACTTCTTGGACGTTTGGCGCCCGCCAGCAGAGGGCCTAGACAGCTGACGTCATTTCCTTGCTGGATTTTTGAGAAGGTGAGTCGGGCTGTTTAAAGGCAATCCTCAATTCATTCCTTGTGAAGAGCTCATCTAAGTTCCTGGACTTTGAATCGTTTGGAAAGACCCATGTTGACGGGGCATAACGGCATCGTGCTAAGCCTGGGCAAAAGAAAGTCGTGCGTCCTGTAGGTAAGACTTAAAATCGACCATTTCAGGGGGTTAGAAGGTTACAGACGGTTAGATTTTGTGGAGGGTTGCAGGCTTCAAGGCTTCAAAGATTGGTGGGTTGGAAATTTGTCCCACGTTTTGCGGGACAAACGGATGAAGGAACCCAATCCATTGGAACATGATGGCCATGATTGAAACCCCACCACTTGAGGCATGGCTCACTGGCACGCCGGACGCTGCAGCGGCGGATGCCTTCCGGAAACAGCACCGCGGTGGAGTTTGGGCAAGGGATGCCCTATCCCCCCCACAACATGGCACCAAAGGCCTAAAGGCCCCTGCAAGACCATCCTTTAGTAGGCTTTTGAGGACCTTGTTCGGTGGGAAGGTAGCGTGAACTGATACTTTGAGTTGAGGGGTTCCTTTTGTGAATCTGGCTATCAGTCCGGCGCACTTTTGTCTGTGCGCTTCGAGTCCAAAGCGGCTTCCGGATCCGCTCCTAATCTCAAACCTCAAGCAAGGGGCCTCAAAGTGGCTACCCTCAATCTGTTTTGGAAAACCTGCACTCCTCCCCTTTGTGTCCGGGAGGACTCAAATGACAAAAGTCGGCAGTCTGTGCTGCCTTGCGAGCCTCTCACGTCATCCGAAGAACGTGTTCAGCTCAAGCCGCTCATAGGAGTCCACGCGGAAATCGGCCCGCGTCCCTCATCATCTCTTCATTGTCCTGTGTAACTCCTCCCTGGCAGAAACTGCACGGCTGCAAGGGTCGAAGTGGAGCCTGTCCAATGCCGGCGCAGTGAATCGACGCATGCAAGAAGCCGTCATCTCCTCTCCAGCTCCTGGCCCCACGAACTCGCTGCCTGTCTCCTCCCATCCAGCATCTGGAACAAGGCAAAACCGCCCGCATTCCGCGAACTGTGGCATTTCGCAACCCGTAACAGTTGCGGCGCCAATGTATCTTGTCGCCCATTCCGGTCAAGTGATATACCTCGACCGCTTCAGGCTCAGGTTGCAACTCCCGCCACCGAAGCTGCTCCATCACCCGCAACTCCTCCCGCCAGCGTGCATTCAAGCGTTCGTCCTCCGCATCCGGTTCCACTGGCCTAGGCTGAGGTTGCTCTGCAACTGGCTGTCCTGTTCGATCAGCGTCTCCCCCTCGGCGCCTCCTCATTGAACTTGCCCTCGAGGGATTCCCGCTTCCCGAGCTGGAAGACCTGGCCGCCGAAGAGCTCTGTGTCCTCGGCACCTCTATGACTTCTTCCTCACTTTCCGTCTGGGTGCTCTGCTCCACACCTCTCACTCTCAATCTTCTCACCTTCAGACAGATGTCCGATGCCACTTCGTGAACCAAGCGGTACACCACAATCGCCACCACTGCGATCACCAAGACCACCACCGCAAGGTCAATCTTCTCCTCCTCCGGCTGTTGATTCCCTTGTGCTCGGCATCCTGTGATCATGATCAAGATCACCAGCAGCTTGATCCACTTGTCCACATCCGGCTGCATTACCACGGCCTTGTTCAGCCTGCTTTGTTCAGCCTCTTCTCGCATGGCCTTCAGATTCCACAAGGCAGACAGCTCCTTGATTCTCGCCGGGCCCAGTGGCTTTGTGCCAAGATCGGCCAACATCTGCTGTCCAGGGCAATGGCGTAACTCCCAATCCCCGGCTCTTATTCGCCACCGAAGATGAAACGCTCGAAGCCGGAGATGCCGCGTTCGCCAGGATCCCGTCACGTCGGTGGCAATCGCCACCGCTGCTGCGTTGTCAGACAGCAGCATCTTCTTGAAGTCGTCCAGCCCCAAGGTGTCCGTGATCAGCGCTTCAACACTGTCCCCAAGGATCACGCTGTCAATGGCCTCGATCAACTCACATTCCGCCGTGGATAAGGCCGGAAACGCTTGCTTCCCTGCTTTCCACGCGATGACCGTGCCGTTCCACGACACCAGGGAGCACCCTTGGCTTCTTTCCCCAAGTGGGGCGAAGGAGGCATCAGCGTATGCCTGAAGTCCTGCTGCTCCATGGCCACTCCAATGCCGTCCAGATTCTCCTGACACCCACAGCCCCCAGTCCTTCGTTGAGTCCAGGTAGCCGAGGATATAGCCCGCAGCTCTGATGACCCACTTCGGGTTCTTCGACACCATACTGCATAGTCGGCTCATGCTGTAGAGGAGGTCAGGCCGTGTTCTCGTCATCAACCACAAGATCTCGCCCGTCACCTTCTGTGCTCTTGCAAGATCCGTCATCGTGTGGTTGCCGATCGTCTCCTCCGCTTCGTCCGCCATTTCCTTAGACATGGGCGCCTTCGCCTTCTTCACCTCGTCCTTGTGCCGGGTCAGCAGTTCTTCCACGTAGTCCTGCTGGTGCAGGAAGATTCCATTCTCCTCCTTTTTCAAGTTCATTCCCAGAAATCGGATCTGATTCCCGGTCTTCAACACCTCCGGCACGCTCGTCTCCCATTTCTGCGCAATGATGGCCTCAAACCTTTCTCGCACGGCCTCCTCCGCCGCAGTGAGGACATCATCGACGTAGATGGTGACCAGTCCCGCCAAGATCTCCTCCGCGCCTCGGATTTCCAGGATGCGCCACAAATTCTGTTCTGCAGCACACTGATCCAACTTGTAGTAGGCGCCGTCGACCTCCCACTGGACCGTCACGAGCTCCGCGTCTCGGTGGTCTGACCACCTTCTCGGGCTTTGGCGAAGCCCATACATGGCTTTGTCTATCAGCCATAGTTCTCCGGGCTCTGCGTAGCCCATCCTGACCATGATCGCCGGCGGTCTCATCGCCACCAGGTGCTCCGGCTCCTTTTCACCATGAAGATCTGCATTGAGGAATGCAGACTTGATGTCCAACGCGGACATCGTCCATTTCCTCTCCATGGCGACCTTCACCTGCAAGCGGATCGCCGTGATGTCCGTACCACCCGCAAAGGTGTCTCCTTCCGCCTCCGAATTCTGGGCGACGTAGTTCCCGCACACCACCAACCTGGTCTTCCGCCGCGAACTTCCCGCTTTCACACTGAAGATTGCCTTGCCCGGGACCACGGTCAGCTTGTTGCCCTTCTCCTTGATCAGCTTCGCGGCTTCCCCAGGAGCCAATCGCCGCAACGCCTTCTTCTCTGTCATCAGCGAGTCCAGCTCCATCTTGATCGACGTTGCCCAGGCTTCCTTGTCCGCGATCACCTCATTCGTGGAGACCATCTTTGTATGCAAGACCTTCTCTGCCTCCTTGTGGTCCGGCACGGTCTGCTTCAGGTTCTCCTCTTCTTCCTTCAGCTTCCTCACCATCTTGAAGGTGACCTCAGCTGCGTTTTCTCCATCTTCCAACATCCTTTCTTCCTCCTCCATGATGAGGTTCCGCAACAATCGAATCCGCTCCGCAACCTGCTCACCTCCTCCATCGTCCATCCTTCTCGGATCGCTCGTCTTCATCCTCAACCGTCTTCTCACACGCAGAGCTTCATCGAACAGAGCTTCCCCATCAGGATTCTCTTCCTCCTCTTGTCCTTCTGCTCTCGGGGCTTCCCCTTCTCGCAAGCCTGAGAGAACCTTCGACACCGCCACCACCTTATTGTCACAGTCCAGCTTCACCGCATGACCGTGGGTGATGTCATAGAGCGGGGCCAGGTACTTGCCTCGCTGATTCTTTGCCTCAAAGGATTTCTGCTTCCAAGCTCTCTTTGGTACCACAACCTCCTCTCCGAACTGATACTTCGGATGGTCTCCGGTCTGGTCGAACTTGAAGCGCACCTCCGAGACGTAGCGGGCGATGCAGGGCCACCACTTTGGTTCCCATCGTGATGCTATCAGCACCCTCCTCACCATGGATTTGACGACCCCAACTGCGGCCTCCGCCCTTCCGTTCTCCTGCATCTGATCCGGTGTCCTGGTGGACTTTCTAATGTCCCTCAGTCGGCACCAGTTGGCTAGTTCCTTGCTCATGAACTCGCCTCCTTTGTCTGAGTGCAGTCTCAGCACCAGGTGGCCCTCTCTTCTCAGTCTGATATAGACCTCCTGGATCGCCGCCAAGACCTCCCGCTTGTCCTTGGACTTCAGCGGGACCGTCATGTACAACGTCTTCAGCGGGTGCGGTTCCTTCTGGATTTCCGGAATCACCGGCTGCTCGTCCTCCTCTCGGGCTCCTTCCACAATGAAGCCTTCTTCTTCCTCCTGCTCGTCCTGATCCACCTGTTCCTCCACCGGTAGTAGATCTTCTCCCTCGCCTGGTTCTGCAGCGGGAAGTTCCTCACCTTCCTCGGTGTGGATCTGTGGCCATGTGAACGCAGCCACGAGCAGGTACCTTCGGTCTTGGACTCCATCCACATCGATGCCCTTGATGAACGGTCCACTCAAATCCACTGAGAGGACATTCCCGGCTGGATGTCGTACCCTTCGATGTGGCCTGTCCTTGGCTGAGGCTTCCTGACAAACTCGGCAGTCCCGCCGAAACGGCAGGTGCCCCAACTTCACATGCTCCTCCCACGACAGAGCCTTCACTTTCGTTCTCGACTCACCGTCCACCTCCTTCCGAAGGCATCTGGCGAGCTCCCGCATCATCCCAGGGGCCCATCGAGCCAATGCCTTCGAGGAGCTGAGTTTCTCCTCATCCGTCATCATCCACCTCGGCTTGTCCATCTCCTGTTCTTGCCCTTGATGACCTCCTTGATGTAGCTTGCAGATGCCTTTCTCGGGGCCTCTGAAGTCCATGGTGGTCCCGATCGTTGTAGGCTTCGCCGCTCGCCCACCCCAGTCACCTTGCAAGAACGTCACCCTCTTGAGCTCGTGGAGCTTCTCCAGGGCTTCCCACTCCGGTGTCCGCCACCACGATGCACACCTCGGCTCCGCCTGCGGCTCTGCCGGTTGCTCCAGGAAGAACTCCACAGCGCCCCCTTTCTCCTCTCTGGCCTTTGCCGTGAGGTCTGCCAGCAAGTAGACCAGGATGAAGCGAAACATAAGCACGTCATCCTCGTAGACGGACCACGCGCCATAGACGGCCGTGTGTTTTCGTTGATTTTTCAGCCGGGGGGGGGGGGAGTGTGGGGTGGGGGGGGGGGGTGATCTCGGACCCACAGCGTTCATGTTTGTCTTCAGTTTTGGTTCAAATGTACCTTTCCGAGGACGCTCGTCTTGCCTTAGGTCTCGTCCTGATCGTGCGCTGTGCTGGCGCGTCCCCTCTTTTCCGCTGCCACCCAATCCTGGATCCTGTTTTTGCTGTGTGCCCTGAATACCTGGACTCTCTCTTTGACGTAGTGACGCAAACCCCGGA